CGAATTCCAAGCAAATTTGTATTCAACTGCTAATACAACCATCCAGAACAATGTGAAATTTAGTATAGTTTTGTAATTTTACCAAAGAATCTCAACTTGACTACAACTGAAGTTGATTCAGAGACAAAAACAGAATCTAAGATGGTTCAGAAAATCAGGTAATCGAAGTACGAAGATGTTAACGATAAAAAGACCCCCAAATGTTTCTTTCACTGCATGACATAGAAAAGAATCGCGAGTCTTTCCCTCTCTTCACACAGAAAAGAATTTCAATTTGCCAACGGTAAATTTCCCAAAATCGCATTCACAGGCGAAATTCAGGTACTCAACTCGTTGGCGCAAAATTAACAACTCACTGATAGCTGAATTTGTTCAAAAGATATCTAAATTTTGCAAATTACAAGTTTTCCGTTCTTCTAGAAATTCTGGCAACGTGACTCAATCCCGAGACAACGTCAATATGCAGATCTTTCGAGTTTCAAGTGACCCTAAGATCAATTGTCGCGTACAGCCACGGGGGAGGGGTACTTTTTGTTTTCTTTTGACTGGGAGTCTCGTTGCAGCCTAGACGGGTTCACTACGTTGTTTGCGTACTGTTGGCCCGGTTTTTACTTAGGCGGTTTGGCGTCGGACTTGTTCTGCACGTGGAACCGCTTCACCATGCCCATGACAAGATCCACGTCGGATTCCTGCGCCAAATAAAGCATGTTCTTCAAATCCTCGGTGAAAACCATCGACTTGGTGTCTTTCGTGTCCAGGAATGTCTGCATTCGGGTCTTGAACCTGTCGCCCATCTGCGGTTTGACTGCGAAGCAGGACAGTGTCCATGACCGCTTCAACCACTCCGGGTCCCTGAGCCCACGCATCTCCCAAGACTGAACCTACTTCCGACGACAACCCCCTTTAGCTTCGTGTCTGTAAATCTTGATAGTCACAGATCAAATCCAAGAGTGCTCGAAGAGTTCCCTGAACGTTCTACGAGTCACATATAAACAGTCTTGGAATTCTTCCAAAAAATATGTACAGTGAGACCCCCACATGCGGACAATTCGACACAGGGACACTTATTTCCCCATAAAAATTAATAAAAAAGGCCCAACATGAGGATATTGAGTCAACATAGGGACATTTTGTGATAAAATTGGAAATAAATTTCAGGCCAAATTACAAGAAACAGATTTTCCCAACCCTACAATTGAAGTAAGAAAAGCTCTTGGGCATTTCTCTTACCAATTTACCATCCATTTAGCTGATTTATAAAAATTACCTCCAGCATAGAGGAACTTCCTTCTCTCTTTTTCACTTGAATGTTATTTTTACAGAGAATGCCAACATTTATATGAACTGTACAGAGGTATCAGTATCAGTATTCAATTCCCCAAATGCCCATATTGTGTTGAAATATATTGATTGAATCAGTTTGAATTGGGAGACCATTTTTATTTTCATGGAAGTATGGTGAGTATTTTGTCCATAGAACACCAATTAAAAATTATATAATGTAAGTCTAAGGGAAAATGATGTGGGGCACAGAGGGCACCTCCCACAAAACCAGTAAAGTAAAAAACCGCGCGATTATTATAAGTTGTAAACCTGAACCGTTGGAATGCGGCAGTGGGAAGTTCCTTGGAAGCTCCCGCTGCCGCAAATTTTGCAATCAAAAATCTTGTCTCTTACGTTCGCTATTCTCGAAGCATTCGGATGTGTGAAGAATTTCTCTTGTGCATTCTGAATTCGTATTTTTACTCTGAGATTTGCACTTGTGATTTTCCCAAATATTTTATCTCATTACTTTGAAATACAGTTTACTTCTCTTTGGAGTCCTTACCAAAGGGCTCCCTGCCGTGTTCCCCAGCGGATTGTGCATTTTTACTGATTTATTTGATTCTCTTATTTATTCGAATTCTTTGTGGGCTCGTTGCCCTACAAATGAGACTCAACTTACGGACACTCTTGATGCAACAATTACGTCCACATCTCAGGGTCTCACATTAATTTCAGTTTAGATGTACTGCGTAATACTTCATGATTACATACACGATAAATAAATGTTGATCTCATGAGCTATCAATCTTTTATAAAAAAAAATAATAATAAAGGTGATAAACACAAAGAGTACAATCGGACCTTAATAACTCAAAGTTTGGCAAATAAAAAGCCTCCCTGAGTCAATTTTGCTCAGTTCTTGTCCATGAGTTTCAATTGTTTCATCAACAGACCACTAATTATTCAAACTAATTTATTCTGCCCTTAAGGCCCATAAGATCACAAATTCTAGTTTCCTATAACTCTTGCTTTTCATATTCAGCGAAAAAAAAGATTTTCTTAGCTGGAAATCTCCCTAAGGCAAATTTATTTTGCTGGTCCCTTGGAGTTTGACGAAGAGTTTTCAACTGTACCCCATCATGGTGTTTTGAACCTTGCTTCACGTAAACCCAATTTTTCTTGCTATCTTTCATTTGAGTTAAACACAGGCTTCAATCAATCCATGAGATTCAATTCGAAAAAGTGTTACACGCGTGGCTCCTCATAAAATATTCTTCCAAGCATCTTTCAAAGCCCAGGTTTCTTGTTCCATCATTTTCATTCACTAGTAATGGATCTGGAAGATCATCTATGAAAAAAGTAATGCAAGTTGCTGACGAGGATTGTGTTCACCTCAGACGTAGGATTAATGATTTGAATATTGAGTCAATTTTCTAGGCCTTTACGCGTAAAATAATCGTGAATATAAGATTTATTTTTAAAAAATAAAAAAAATCAGATGATCTCGTTCCTGTCTGATGACGAATTTGAAAATTTCGTTTCATCATTTTCATTCACAAATAATGGATTCGAGAGTTCGTCTATGAAAAGAATAAATGCAAGTTGCTGAAGCGGATTTTTTCCTCCTTCTGACGTCGGATAATGTTTTAAAAATGGAGTCAATTTTCTAGGCTAAAGGCGCGTAAAACCATCGTGAATACAAGATTTTTTCTAAAATGAAATAAGCAGGTGATCTCGTTCCCCTCTGATGTCGAATTTGAAATTCAAGTCAATTCTCCCAGGCTTTGAAACACGCAAAAAAAAAATCGTGAATACACTCACCAGCAACAAACGGGCGCTCGCATTTGCCACACAACGCCTGAGCAGCTCCCTGCCTGACAGACCTCATCAGAAACTTCGCCGCCATATTCTCACACAGCTCTTGATTTTATCACGGTAAAATAAATGCAAGTTGCTGAAGCGGATTTTTTCCTCCTTCTGACGTCGGATAATGTTTTAAAAATGGAGTCAATTTTCTAGGCTAAAGGCGCGTAAAACCATCGTGAATACAAGATTTTTTCTAAAATAAAAATAAGCAGATGATCTCGTTCCCCTCTGATGTCGAATTTGAAAATGTCGTTTCATCATTTCACTCACAAATAAAGTAATGGATTTGAGAGTTTGCTCATTAAAAAATTGATGTAAGTTGCTGAAGTGGATTTTTTTCTCCTTCTGACGTCGGATAATGTTTTAAATATTGAGTCAATTTTCTATGCTTAAGGCGTGTAAAACCATCGTGAATACAAGATTTTTTCTAAAATAAAATAAGCAGCTGATCTCGTTCCCCTCTGATGTCGAATTTCAAATTAAAGTCAATTCTCCCAGGCTTTGAAACACGCAAAAAAAATCATGCATACACTCACCAGCAACAAACGGGCGCTCGCATTTGCCACACAACGCCTGAGCAGCTCCCTGCCTGACAGACCTCATCAGAAACTTCGCCGCCATATTCTCACACAGCTCTTGATTTTATCACGGTACAAAACAAAACTAAAAAAAAACAACAAATACCTGCTTTCCCGCGGGAATAAAATAACATTAAATTCAAAATATCGAGTAAAAGTAAAGTACAGAACTGCAAGCAATTTTCGATACATGACCCACACAACACACATTACATACGGAACACCAAGAAAGAACGCATCACTTGAGTTCCAAGCCAGCTCCGTCATTCACTGCACTGGCTTCAATCAAAAACTCTTCCCGTTGTCTGTACAATTCCTCAACAAGTTGCTTCACAGCCTCAGTTTTGAATTTCCCTCTAGTCGACTCGAAAAATTCCTGCAACGGGGCGCAGTTGCCAGACAACATCGAACACCGGCCGTGTCGCTCGTATTCAAAGGCAGTTAGTATCATGTCGAACATGTCGAGATCCTTGACGAATTTAGCCTCTTCTGTTGTTTGTTCCTCGTATTCCTAAGGAAATTCGACAAAAAAACATTAGTCAAGCCTCTTCAAGTCAAAACTCCACGGGACATGAAAAACGTTACAACATTCGACTTTAATATAAAAATTGTGAATTATTCAATATATTCTCATAATAAATTATTCATTTTGATTTAGTATAGAAAATTTTCAGAAGCCTGGGAAAGCTGAAAACGATCAAAACATTTCAAGTACTTGAAGGGGTTCACAAAAGAATTTGACTTCGGGAGTTTTTAAATCAGAGAAAATATTTTCACCATTAAGAGATGAAGAATTACAGAAAGTCAAAATTGGTGATCTTCTCGGCGTTCAACAACTGGATAAATGAGTTGAAAGCACGCTGAACGAGGAAGAAAAGGTTAATTTGCTCAATTAGTCACTTACTTCCTTTCGAAAAGCAATAATTATCCTGGAAGCCTCCAAAAATCTTCGTTACAGAGGTTTGAGGCGGGGAAAGTCTTTGATTTGTCAATAAATATAATACTGTACGTTGTTCTTGAGAGAATTCAGACAGGAACTAAACAAACATTTAAAACAAGGAGGTTTTGGAAGTTACAAATCATCTAACTCCAATTGTACTGTAATTACTCGATCATAGAACGCATTCCTTGTTTTCGTAACGCAAAATTAGAAAATATTTTGTGCCTGAAACTGTGAGTCGCATCATCATTACACTCAAATTCCTCATAATTTACGGTAATGATACAAATCGATTCCACTCGCGCTTCAAATACCAGCCTAATCTCGAAACAGTTCCAAAATACATCAGGCTCGAAGATTCAAATAATATACAGTAGTTCTCATTTAAATTGTGCAACTGAACAATTTACAAGAAAACTTTCGGATACATTTTCAAACTAAGATGCACAGTACTAGAAGAATTTTCAAATTCCACCAGCCATCAAAATTCTGACTAGCGAAATTCGAGAAACAATCAATCGGTGAGACGCACCGTGATATTTTTCTGGCTACATTTTAAAACATAAATCGCGACTTTTAATCAAATCAATTAGTTGGGCTGGAATTTGAGAATACAAGAACGGTACCCTAAATAAAGCTTGAAATTCCTCGGACTTGGCAGAGGAGAGCATTTGACCGAGTCCAGAAAAAGCCTCCAACTCGAGCTTCTTCTTCACGTCACTGGCTACTCCACAATGCGGGGTTATGTCCCCGACTTTACACTCCGCCATGTCGTGTACCAGTGCCATCTTCAGACATCTGAAACAACAAACAAAATTTCAAAGCATTTACAAAAATGTAGAACTATTAAATTACAACCTCAACACATTGGAAGACTCACGAATATTATCCAACCTACATTTTTTTCGTTTTTTCGACCGAAAAGTCAGGGAAGATCTCACAAAAAAACCTCACCCGAAGAGACGCAATATGCTTACATGTTATACATAATCCAGAAAAATGTCAATAACGTCATTTCAAGAAATCGAAGATGAGAAAAACACAACAATAAACAGTAAAATACGATCGATTCTCATCGGTTTAAATACCGAGGAAAAAAAGAGGGGAATTTTTAAACTTTCGAACATAAGGAACAAAAATATCGGACAAAATCACGAAAATTGGAAGTACAAAATTGGAACTCTAGCAGTACAATACAGTTCATAATTCATAAATCTAACAAAAATATACTCTTTCCATGAAAACACGGTCAAACCTTGATAAAACGCCACCACTTGTTCGTGTGGTGGTTTGACCGAGTTGGCGATTCATCAAAAAAGCTAAAACAATATTTAAATTAAATATAATAGAGAATAAAAGTATTATTTTTTTTTTAGAAAACAATCGAAGTGACCCTCGGATGCGTGAATTATCCCCAGCCAACGTTTTCAGGAAGTGAAGTATGCCTTCCTTGCGTGGTTTTTTTCCATTCGGAAAAATCTCTCACAAAAACTTGTATTATGTTGATATCAAGGACAAAATTAATTGACCATTTGAAGTTCTACACTGAAGCATCAAAAATATTTTCAACCCCGTAAGGAAAAAACCAAAAATTGATGCATTGTGGAAATCGTCACTTCTTTCGCAAGGCACAGGAATTGCGCACAAGACAAACCTGGTCATGTCCAAGCCAGGTACATCCAGAATCATAGACATCACAGCCATTTGGTACATGTGCGATGAAACGCGCTCTGGTTCAGAGACATTCCTCAGGACCCATCCTGTTCTCTTCAGGTCCTTCCAGACAAAAATTACGTAAATCAAAATAGGATCACACACAACACATCATTGAATGAAACAATGCACAGTTAACATACTGCAATTCTTCAATGATATTACCTGATATAAACTTTTCAAGAACATTTTCCAAAAAGGCACTACAGTACTCCATAATACAGAATCACTAAATATGGTACAGTACTTTGCTGTTATCACTGTACCTTCCCTCTGACCAATTTAACCTGACCTGACCCAACTTCACCTAACCGCCTCCCCAAGTCAGTTTCTGCTTTCTTTGGGTTTCTGCTGAAACTGATTTTGGGAGGTGGTTAGGTAAAGTTGGGTTAGGTCATATCTTTTAACTAACATAACCTGACCTAACTTCACCTAAGCGCCTCTCAAAGTCAGTTTCTGCTTTCTTTGGGTTTCTGCTGAAACTGATTTTGGGAGGCGGTTAGGTAAAGTTAGGTTAGGTCAGGTTATGTTAGTTGAAAGATATTTGTAACTAACACAACCTGACTGAGCCTAACTTTACCTAACCGCCTCCCAAAATCAGTTTCAGCAAAATGCGGAAGAATAAAATTCACAATTTCTGGTAGGTTGTTGTGATTATGAACTTGTCCTGAAGATTTGTCAGGATGGTAGTGAGGTCTAGGAATGAGTTACAGAGATAACAGGAAAGTACCCTAAATATTTACAGAGTACACCTTTTTCCGCACATTTGACAGACTCGGTCTTCTCAATTCAGCAGGAATTTCTTTAACATGTGATTACGGAGTAATATGTGAATAAATCACCTTATGAACATTGAAATCGATTTGAATACATGGACTCTCTCTCTCTCTCTCTCTCTGCAGTGAAATTAAAGGTACCAGAAAAATATGTTTTAGATACAATTTCATTCTAGACAACCCCGTTTGATATGGTGAGAGAAACCTATGGGGGAAAATAAATCGTCATGCAGAGGAAATGGCTGAAGACAAGATTTTTTTTAGTGAGAGTGCACCTGTAATTTTTTACCCCGAAGTAAGAATCTCGTGCCATTCTTAGAGACAGAACTTTAGAGACAGAAAAGTTGCCAAACTTTCGTAAGTAAAACATATCAGAATTCCAATTTTGACTGGAAGTGGAATCAAATTGAATTAATTTCATTCTCCATCAAATAATATTATTTTTCAAAATTACCCACTGAAATCACGAATGGCGCGCACCTAATCATCTAAAGGTTCGAAATCAAGTTTTTAAACTTTTGAGATTTTAAAATCTTGAAATAAAATGTTTGAAATTCCATACCCACTTATGATGCACACACTTTCCCCCCTCCTCGTATCAATAAAAAGGTTTGGGTTTAAACTTGCATCAATTTGGCGTTAGGAAAAACTGAACCTCTGTAGCATCAAAATGCAATAAGAAATTCTGAAAAGGAACCATTTGGGCGCAGGGAAAAACTGGGCTACATCAATGCATTTACCATACAGAAATTCAAATAACAATGTGACTATTGCGGAGGGACCTGAAGAACAAAATTTCTTATAAAACGAATTCACTCAGTAGAATCTGACCTACTTAATCCGAGTCCCAATGGGTTTCTCGTGCCAAGATTTTAGGGCATCTTCATGGAAAAATAGGGTCACAGATTTTCAAATCGCCTCGCAACGAATTCATCATTATAACGACGCCTTTTCCCTGACCCCAGCAGCTTCGCTCAAACGAGATTTTACTGTATCATCACAATAATTAATCTATACATCCGATGAAAAGTAGACCAACCTTGAGCTTCCCGGTCCATTTAAGAAACTCCAAAAGTCTTGGCGCAGCACTCATGACGAGACGTCCACTCTTGTTATTCGCACTTCACTCCCCTGCATTCGCATTCAACGACAGATATGTTCAAAATACCGTTCCACTGTTCCGACGGAACAGGAAAGAAATTGAAATGAAAGTAACTCGAAGAAGTCAACAGTTGGCGGTCATGCGAGGCTTTTTTATTTCACAATCCGCTCCAAAGAATCCAAAAACTCGTTTCCTTTCCACCGAACGTGTTTAGAACCGGAGTTTGGAGAAGAACCACTTGCTCTTGCCGGACTTGTAGCTGTTTCGAAATAATGAAACTCGGTTTAAAGACAAATTTTCAACAGTTTTTTATTTTTAATTTTTATTTCAACTGACCGTTCCTCGAAGCTCTTCTTCACTTGGAACTTTGCCTTCTTCCGCTTGACTGCGTCCTTGATGACCTCCTTGTTGACCTTGTTCTTGTCGAATGTGATGTCGACGGAGTATCTCGTCGGCATCAGGTGGTTGTAGTTGAGGACCTTCAAGAATATTGCACAAATCACGCATGCAATTTAATGAATTCACAACATTTTCAATTTCCTCTTTCAGTTTCTTGCTTCAGTAATTAATCTTGAAATAGTCGAAGGATTTTACTTGCTGAATCAATACCGCAATTTCGCAAAATATTTCATGCGTTGAGTCTCCTTATTCGGTAATTTATTTTATCACAAGCGCATTATTTTTTAAAATTAATACCGTAAATGGCGTAAAGCCTCAAGATTGTTCACTTGATGTTATACTGTAATATTTTTAATAAGTAATTCATCTCAAGATACACGAGTACGAGTACTTCTTTATTATCGAATAAAGTGACGTCTGAAAATTGTTCATTCAATATTTTAGCCTTTTCATTCGGTAATTAATCTTTCAAGGAACGAAGGATTAATGTTTCATGAATGCCAGGATCTCTCAAAATTGTAAATTTCATGTTATTGTCTTTTCGGGAAAATTAATTTTAAAGTGAAAGAGGGATTGATTTTCAAATGAATACTCTCAAAATCGTCCATCTCACGTCGCAGCCTTTTTCATTTCGTAATTGAAATAAAAATGGACGAAGGATAAAATCTTGAATAAATACCAAGATGTCCTAATTTCTTTTTCATTTCATGGTGTAATGTAAGTGCTTTCACTCAGGAATTCATTTCATGACATATACAGAAGAATTTTAAGGGGATTTTCGGGATGGATTTTCTGCTCCTTTTCGCTTCACACACAGTACACATTCGAGTCATATTTTTTTCGGATACTGGAATTTCGATTGAGTCCATTAATCGACCTACTACAGTGCGGTATTTCGCTCGAACAGTCTCACAATTCCTCATGATCAAAGATGTTTCCAAATTACCTGTACTTCACTTTCTTTTTCTTTAATCTGAGACGGTAGAAAAACCCACCTTCAAGAACGGGGTGACGCGAGATCGCTTGGCCATGCGCTTCTTCCCCATCTTCTTCGTCACCTTTCTCGGGTACTTGTCGATGCCAGCGACAAGTGCGTGTCCGTACTGACGATCTGCTGTTCCATCGTCGTTGTTCTTCACAACCACAGCCTTTCTACCCGCGAATCGGCCTCCCAGCACGATCACCACCTTTCCTGGCTTCATAATCTTCCCCATTGTTTATGTGTTTATCTGAGCTTGCCCTCGAAACGGCACAGGAAAATACGCGCGAGAAGGTGGATTCGTAACTGTGTGAACGAAAATAAGCGTGGAAATTAATATCGTAAAAATCGAAGTACCGCGTTTCCCCAAAATATTCAAATTCAAAATTTTAAAAATCAGACGTCCAGCATGCCTGATTTTAATCAGGAATTTTGAACGATTTCGAGATTAGATTAAAAATTGGAAAAGCTTGAAAACTAATTTCATTCGGATTCAATTAAAGTTGTGATGCCTTTTTCTTAAATTTTGCAACTTTTCAATCAATGGGCGAGCATCTTACTACGCAGCAGATTTTTATCCGAACTTCAGGATGAGAAAATCAGGTGTGCCTCTTACTCAAGGGCACATAGCATAGTACCGTAAATATGGTATTGTAGTATCGACTTGCTTTCATCTGGAAAAAAACTGGGATAAGATCTCCAAGGTTCGAGCTCAAATTTATCTTTACTGTGCCTGAAAATTTGTAATTTTAAATTTTGGCAGATGTCTTAACGCAAAGTTTAGAAAAAAAGTTCGTACATCAAAGAAAAATTCTAAATACTGTAATTAATTTAACTCTCCAGCACAGATTATTTCACGAGAAAAGGCGTCAACCTAGGTCACGATTTCCGGAAAATTAGCTCTTTCTCATTTCAATTCATAGAAAATATTGATACACGACCAGGCTCTTTTTCGGGGAAACACGGCACGTGAAAACCATAAACGGGCTGATTTAGCGAACAGGTCACCCGACCCCCACAAAATAAATATTCCTTTGTTTGCAACAACAATTTGATCACAGCACCCGTGTGCAAGGAAAAAAAATAGGCAACATTTCATTCAACAAATCAAAAAACGGAATGCTCAAGAAGCAAAAATAAAATTCCATCCTTCCTCCGACGAAGGAATGACTTTCTGCAACAACAAAAAACAAAAAAATTAGGTCAGCTGCTGACTTTCGTTGTCTCCTCAAATTCCACCAGGGCCACGTTCACCGAACCAACATCTAGTTCCAAGTGCAACGTGCCCCAACAAGAACTGCCCAGGACGTCCTTGACCCTATCTGGCCCACACAGAGATCGCAAGCACAGGGCCATGTGCGGCACAAAAGCTCGCGTAAACAACTTGGCCACTCCACTCGTGGCGCCGCCTTCGCGCCTCAACACCGCCGCCAACATTTCCCCAGCCACCCTGAGCTTCGTCTCGAAAAGCTTCACGGTCTCGAGCCCTTGTCGCAGTTGAGCGCAAGCAGAGAAATCGTTCAACGCTCGGAGAAGATCGTTGGCCAAGTAGGCCAGGGCTTGGAAGTCGAGCAAGGATAATGGCGGGTGCAGGTCTTCGGAGCGAGACGCGGGTTCTGTGAATCGCACAGAATCTATGCTTGCTGAGGTGATGGTGGCGAGGCGGGATTTGAATTGTTCGAGAGACGAGTCGATAGCTTCTGTCAGGTTTCGCATAGCGGCCTTGCTGAACAGTTGATGGACTCTCGGGGAGAAATCGACCCCGACTCGACTCAAGCTCGTTGCGAAATAGTTACACTGTCCTGTGAGAGAAAAAAAGAAACAACACATGATTGCGAATTCTTCGTTCAAAGATACAACTATGGAATTGAACGCCTGACATTGTAAACAGATGGCATTACCGGAACCTATAAACAGTATAAACCGTGGTTACTCTAGTGCCACGCAAACCTGGTTTTCTGGTCCTAAAATTTGGACAAAACCCCATCACCAAGTATGATGCGCACCCCATCTCTAGTGACTAGAAAAAGGCAAATTCTTTAAAATACAATGCATCAAGATCAAAATTTAGGTTGAATTAAACCCAGATTGAACTAATTTCCATTTTAAAGAAGCAGTTGATCGGAGGAATTTTGAAAGTTTTAAAAATAAAATTATTCCCCAAACAACGTTTAACCCATTCTGAAGCGTGAACATATTGAACTAAAGAATCTAATGAAGTCATTACACTATAGAATACTCAGTTCTTCCATAATTAAGCAAGAAGCGAGAATAAAAAACGGATTCCCCAACCAAACAACTCATAGTCTTCAATTAGACTTAATTACAGAAATAAAAATTAGTTCTGAACATGATGAATCAAATTCTAATAAATAACGTTTTACGATCATATCTTCAGAGTTTCTTCGATTCGGAAGATTTACTGGCAATACTGATCATGGATGGTATGAGAAAACTGCAGTTCAAGATCTTCAATTTCCTTTCAACAGCATGAAACACTTGGAAAAGTTGAATGGACTCGACAGTCATGATCAGGAAAAATATCGAAGGCTCACCGAATAACGAGTCCATTCTGGCGACAACTTTCGGATCATTGGTCAATCCCGCGTCCACAGTTTCCAAGAATTGCTTGATCACGAAGAATACCCAGGAATAGAAAATAGCCGGCAAATCAACGCTGTCGTCTTTAGCACTCCCAGCAGGTCCGGAAAACAAGGCTCGATACTGAGTGATGATGTCAAACAAATGGACTCGATGCAGTTCTATCACCTTGTTCAGGTAATAATACGGATCGTCTCTCAATACGCCTTCAATTGCAGACTTGAGCCACGCTGTTCTTGCCTAGACAAAAAGAAGAAACCAACAGATAGGTCAATTTTAATGAAGTGGGGCGACTAGGGTCTCCACATGCGGATATAATTGAACTTAGAGTTGGTCGCCTTTTTTGAATGTATGCATGTCGGATCACAATAGACCAATAGACTTCATTGGAAAATATTCAATTGGTTCGCCTGTTCATCAAAATCACACAAGTATAAAAAAAGTAAGCTGTACCTCTCATACGTATGGTCAAAATAATTTTTGAAATTTTCTGAACTATCGTGCATCAAGGCCAAGACCGATGTTCCAAATAAAATAAGTTCTGATTTGATATAAATATGTTCTGAGGGTCTCCACATGCGGATATAATTGAACTTAGAGTTGGTCGCCTTTTTTGAATGTATGCATGTCGGATCACAATAGACCAATAGACTTCATTGGAAAATATTCAATTGGTTCGCCTGTTCATCAAAAATCAAGGAAAAGTCCCCTGAAAAACAGGACACTGTTTTACAACTTCCAGATACAGAAAATGACTCTGCATAAGAAAAGAAACCGATCTGACATGCAAATGTACTAAATTCTAAACGTAAGTAAGTCGAATCGAGCTCATGTCTGGCTGTCCGTACGTCGCGGCCCACCGTATTTTCAATCATTCAAAGATGAAAAATCCTTTCATCGTTCAATAAAACCCAAGACCTCGAATTTCACGCAGCTTTTTATTCAACTGCAAACACAAACAATCCAGAACAATATGAAATTCAGTACAGTATTGTAGTTTTACCATAGAAGCTCAACTTGACTAAAACTGAAATTGATTTAGAGACAACAAATCTAGGATGGTTCAGTAAATCAGGTAGTCGAAGTACGAAGATGTCGACGATGAAAAAAAGAGTCCAAATGTTTCTTTCACTGCATGACGTAGAAAAGAATCGCAAATCTTTCCCTCTCTTCGCACAGAAAAGAATTTCAATTTGCCAACGGTAAATTTCCCAAAATCGCACTGACAGGCGAAATTCAGGTACTCAACTCGCTGGCGAAAAAGTAATCTCACTGAAGTACCAACAAAAAAAAACCAACCTGAAGAAACTTGACACGCAGCTGAGCAGGAGTGAACACTTCCAATCGCCTCAAATAGCCCAAAAGCTTCAAACATTGAGGCAACTGAGTAGGAGACCCGATTTGCGCCAGTAACTGCTTCACCAGCAGTCTTTGACTTCGTTGCACGCAATGGACGATGTCTTGTATCACAGGGATCTTCCCGTGCTTCTTTTGCAATCGCTCCACGTACTGGGCAAGTTGGAGGGCTTCCTCGCAATATCTGTCGAATAGATTACAAAACATGGTGATTTTCGAATGATACATGACTGATGCAATATGATCAAGACATTTAGTTAATTTATATCTTGCGCAGAGTTCCGGCCGTACACGTGGACACCCATCCGAGTTCTAAACCTCAGAATTAACCGACTTTCTTCACTCCGCCTCCTAAGGTATCTTCGTACATACAGTACTCCTATAATCTTGACCAATACGTTCCTGAATACTTGACATGAACCTCGACTTTCGAATAGGAACAGATGAAAAACTTATCCACAATATAAAAATAAATGAAGGATTCCATCCAGGATTCCATGGGTACAGTACGTCAATACATATACTTGTATGGTTGAAACTCAATGACTTGAACATCTTCCAGTCAAATATACATATCAAAATTTTCAAATTCCTGTCAGATTCCCTTAGAAGCAATTTATTTAAAGCCTTCCTAGCTTGAAGACGCACACCTCAATAGCTCGATTTTTCTGGAAGCCTTTAGGCCATTATTTTATTGGCACAGAACAGAAAAATGCAATAAATATGTGATTTCATGTGTTTTGAACTGAAGTAAAACACTGATTTGGCAAATGAACCTTCGCCTCCAAGTTCAGCATCCTGACAACTCATTTAAAAGGCATCACCAATCACAATTAACCCGTAATTCTTCCTTTCCCCATACCAAAATGCCTACTGTTTCCCTAACTCAAATCCGCCCAGTTCCCTTGAAGCTCAACTCAATGAGGGGTTAATTGTACAACCAAAGCCACTTAATGAACAACAGTGATAAGTACGCTTTCTGAAATTTGTTGGTTGAGGAGAAATAAGGAGCACATTTGTCTAATAAAATACCCGTCTACGCAAAAGAGCATAGCCAACCTTCTCGTTAAGGAGCTCAACCTTGTTAGAGCTTTTCATAAACCCTGCGGTATCAATACTGTAAATTGAAATCACTCGGACCAATACTCAACCCCAAACTTCTTTGCTTTAACAGAGATGTCGCCTGAACCTTGCCACTTTTCCAGCAGTATTCAATTACTCCTTACCTTTGTTACATAGAGGTACAGTAGTGTAGATGTACAATACAAGAGACCGGTTTTGATTCAAGCGACACCTGTCCGATATTCCTGAGTATACAACGAGTCATTTCAGTCTGAACGAATTTTCGACGCAGGATTTACACACTGGCGACACGTACTGAACTGTATTACCTAAAAAATGAACTTCTTTGCCCTCTTTGGACCTGGGCCGTATACTTGAAGCCAATTAATGACGGAGAGCAAAATGATGGTTCACTGTACAGTAAGGGATCCCTATTGGGACCCTTAGTAGCGACACCTATCCGGACATTTTAGAAGCGCCAGCATCCTGAAGAATCATCCCACCCAGGCTCAGCCAGGACGGAGATCGTTATCACAGCCGGAGGAGGCGAGCAAATCCAGAGCAGAAGACATTCCTTCAATAAGAGTTGAATAAATGGTAGACCTTTCTCCACGAACACACTTGTAATATTTCTTGAAGTCACCAACACAAATAACACTCAGGTCAAAGTTAAGAGATGATGTCCAGTCAAGAGCTAAAGTCAGAATGCCAGTCCTCTCCAGCCGTCCGAGCCTCCTGCGGTGGTTCCTCCGATGGTGCAAGAGATAAGGAAGAACTGGGTGGGTTCTTGGGACGTTTGGACTTTCTCCAGTAAGATCGCCTAGGTGTCGCTCTAGTTGGTAAGGGAAGGGCCTTACTNTTGTCCTTTGTCTGCGATGACTACAAAAGGACCGAGTTTTTGTATCCTGAAACGTCGGTTGGCTGCGTGGCGCTCAACTGTGGGAAGACGAGGAAAGATTGCAATTACGTCACCCGGTTGGAAGTGTGGTAACTTCTTCTTGTTAGCCTGTGCGATAAATTTCTCCCTCTGAGTGTCCACATGTTGGTGAATCTCCTCGAGTCGTTGATCCAAATGTTTTCGCTCAACGTTATATTTGCGATCCGCATTGAGGATGGTCGGGATGCGGAACATGGCTTCAGTAGGGGTAACCCCAGTTGTCGAGTGGGGTGTCGAATTATATGCTTGAACCGATTGGTGAATGTGTTCGGCCCAGGTCGACTGATTCTCGTTGACCGCTTTTGCTTGGATTTGTCCAAGGGTGCGGATGGCGCGTTCACAGCACCCGTTGCCCTCCGGATGGGACGCTTGGGCGATATGCTGTTTAATATGTGCCCCCCGTAAAAAATGCTTAAAGGCTTTGCTGCGAAAAACAGAATCGGCATCAGTATGAATCGTTTCGAATGATCCAAGTTGACGGCAGAGATCAGCTAAGAAGGGAATAACAGTCTCGGTGTTAGCGGCGGGAATGGGTTTCACACACATATACTTCGAAAAATGATCGACAGCAACGATGACGTATTTATAACCTTCGGGAGACGTCGGTCATGGTCCATAAAAGTCGACGACGAGTCTTTCCAATGGGCGAGATGATTCTATCGGTGACAGGATTGTGCCGACGCTCTGGGTTGGTTGATTGAATCGAAAGCAAGTAGTACAGTGGATGATTCGTTGCCAGATTTGTTGACGCATCCTGGGCCATTGAAAACGATCGCGTAAAGTCAGGTAGATCTTCTTCCAGCCAGCGTGTGCGAGTTCAAGATGGTATTCGTCAATAATCTGCTCGCGTTCAGCTTCCGCTGGTGTTGGTTTGACGTTGATGGCGTTTAGAGTAATCCCGCTGAGGGCGTCAGGTCCTTGCAGAAATCGTCCGGGTCGGTGGACTAAATCGAAATTAAATCCTGCTAGCTTTGAGTAGAGACTTACGGCGCGTTCGGTCTGTAGATCTCCAAGTAACGCCTTGTGGTCTGTGTTGACTGTGAAGCGCCGATGAAGTAGATGGTGTTTGAATTTCTTGGTGACGCTCCAGACCACCGCGAGGAGTTCGCGTTCCGTGTTGGTATATCGAGTCTCTGTGTCAGTGAGAACTTGACTAGCGTATTCGATGATGCGGTGTCGTCCACAGTCGTCGGTTTGTACAAGAACCGCTCCGAGGCTGATGGCCGATGCATCGCAATGAACCGATATGGGGAGTTCTGGGTCGATGCGCTCAAGTTTCGAAGCCTCAGCGAGAGACAACTTGAGCTTCATGAAGGCTTCCTCCGCCTCGGTTGTCCATTTCAGACGGTTATCTGGTTTTTTAGGGATGATAGAACGAAGTACCTTCTCGGAATCAGCAAAGTTGGTGGGGAGATGGGCCCTGAGGTAGGTAGCCATTCCCAGAAACTGTTGCATCTGACGAGTCGTAGACGGCTGGGGATAATCACGAACGGCGTCGACGTTACGTTCCGCAGGACGAGTTCCTGTTTGGTCAATAATATGCCCCAGAAAGAGAGTCTGTTTAGCAAGAAAAGTAGACTTCTTGAGATCGATAGCGGCACCTGCGTTGTGCAGCGTCTGAAGCACTTCGCTAAGGTTCTGGCAGAGCGTTTCAAAAGAATCACCAAAGACGAGAACATCGTCGACGTACGCGAGGCATTTCTTGAAGAGGTGCGGACGTAGAATCGTGTTGATAGCGCGCTGAAACATTGCTGGACCGTTTTTCAACCCAAAGGGGATTACCTTGTATTGTACCTGACCGCGGGGCGACATGAAGGCGGTCTTTGGTCTGTCGTCCTGGGCGATGGGGAGATGATGGAAGGCGTCATGCAGATCGAGTCCGCAAAAGTACTTGTTCTCCCGACCGAGGGCGTCAATCAGTTCTTGTACCACCGGCATTGGGAAGTGGTCATCGAGAATCAATTTGTTGAGTTCCTTGTAATTGACCACGAGTCGGAAACGCTTGTCGATCGGCGCATCCGGAGTCGCGCCCTTCTTGTTAACTAAGAACGCTGGCGCATTGTAGGGCGAAGCAGCCATTTCTAAAATACCAGCTGCAAGGTAATGATCGATTAACTCCGCGAAAGGCACGTTACGTTCGACCGAGTGACGATAATGGCGAGTCGCGGGCGGTGGCGCGTCCACCGTTGGAATACGAACGACGTGGTCAACAAATAAACCGCGTTTCCCCGACCATTGTCGGATGGTCGGTGCATGAGCCCGTAACATCTCAGCTATGCGTGCGCGTTCGTTGTTGGAGCCATCAATAAAAGTAATGCCCTCACCCACCGCGAGTGTCGGTTGGGCGGGCGAACGGGTGATCTCGCGAAACCCGGTAAATACGCGTTGACCGTCGATGGTGATCGCGACGGGAAGATGCAACAAAAAGGATTGTCGGAATTTCGATGAGAACCGGATGCACGCGTTGACTGCGAAGTGGACGCGGCAGCGGGTGGTTTGGACGAACCTGAATCCGATGAAGACGAGTTTTCCGACGACTGGTTTGGACGTAAGCGACATTCATGTGAGCCATGACGCATATGTCGCTTGTGGTGATCGCACCACTGACGAGGAGGTAGGTTGAGACGGGGCCTGGAACCGGACTTCTGGGTATTGTTGTTTGACGAGGTCTTCTCGGTCTGGTCACGATGATTTAGCCGATAAGCCTCGGCGATATCGATGAGCTCGTCCCACTTCATGGTGCGGTTTTTCAGCCACTTACGTCGTAATTCGTCCCGTAAGCCCCCCTCGGAGATTTGCAGAAGTTGTTCCATGAAGATCTGCTCCAGAAGGGGTTCTGTGGCGTCAAGAAGATCAGCAGACAAGGGTAAGAAGGTTTCGTATTGGTCGCGTAGACGTTCGGCGAAGGAGATGTAGCTTTCACCCTCTCGTGGTTTCATCCGACAAAACGTGTCGAGCCGGTCGAGATGTGGCGTGGGATGGCGGCTTGCGATTGCCGCAACGAGAAGTTCGAAGCCTGTAATTCCACGTTTATATAGACGATGAGCCGTACCTTGTATTTCCGGAAGCGTGTTGTCCATGAGGCAGCGTACACGATGTCCATCGTTGATGTTGTCGATGTCAAGACGATTCCTGAGTCTCATCGCGTAGTCTTCGAATTCTTCTTCGGCCTGTTGCTTGGGGAGCTCTGGAATCTGCGGCTCCGCGAACCAGCGGGGTGGTTGTGCAGGAAGACATGCGACCGGACCCGATGTGGGAACATGGACGAACGGTGTTGACTGCGACGACGTCTGGTGCTGCGGTGGAACGGTGAAGAGAGCGGAAAGAGGTACCTGGAACTTGTCTAGATGCAGGGCGTATTCGGCCTTGGTGAGGATGTCTGGATGCCCCAGTCGGTACGTCTCGGAAAGGAACTGCAACGTAGACAGCGGCAAGGATTCCCATACGCTGGACGAGGACGAGGAGCCGGACGAGGCGGACGTGATCATCGAACGAGATGAGCCTGCCGGTGACTCGACGGGAATCGGTGGTGGCTGTAGCGGTCTAGCTGGTAGCGGCTGGGGTGTCGGATTGATGTTCGGGGCGGGAGTCTCGTTGTCCGGAACATTGCGATTTTGTTCGGATTGTGTCTCCATTTGTAACGCCCAGGCAGCAGCAGCGCGTGAATTTTCAGTGTTGCGGACCATCAACTGAAGTATGTCTCCGTGAAGGAATCACTGGATGGCTCGAGCCCCCAATAAGAGTTGAATAAATGGTAGACCTTTCTCCACGAACACACTTGTAATATTTCTTGAAGTCACCAACACAAATAACACTCAGGTCAAAGTTAAGAGATGATGTCCAGTCAAGAGCTAAAGTCAGAATGCCAGTCCTCTCCAGCCGTCCGAGCCTCCTGCGGTGGTTCCTCCGATGGTGCAAGAGATAAGGAAGAACTGGGTGGGTTCTTGGGACGTTTGGACTTTCTCCAGTAAGATCGCCTAGGTGCCGCTCTAGTTGGTAAGGGAAGGGCCTTACTATTCGGTTCCTGACTTTCGACTGTTGTTCTTATGTTTGACTGAAATTATTGAAGTGAACTTTTTATGTGTGTTACGGGAATCTCGGATTTCGGAGTTGGACTTGAGATACAAAACTCTTCGCTAAGTGACGCTGGCCGAGGACTCTTTTATTAAACCTTACTGTACCGATTCTAGATGTCACCTGAACCTAAAGAATTGAGTAATCGTGATTTCTTACCCGTTGCGAACACACGTGTCCATCAACTGCGGCAGCTCCAGAATCTCCAGCAGCTGCGTATGTCTGGCCAGCGCGAGACTCGCCAGCCTCCGATGGGCCATCAGCTTCTGCGCCTTCTCACGAAAATCGCCACACTGGGCCACGAATCCCGGACAACCATCCACAAATCTCTGCAAGTTCTCCTCGACGCCAACGAAGTCCTTGGCCACGTCCCGGGCACAATCAGCGGTTTCAATGAACGTCCCATAGTTATGGAAGGCCAAGTCCCGGGTCCGCTCCAGGTTGCTGGCGGCTTCGAGCTCGATCCGACGCACAGTTTTCTCGGCGTCGGCGTAACCGCAAGCGCCGAGTTCGCAGAGAAACTCCGCTACATCCGGATTCGCGGCCCAAGACTGGACCAGGTCGGCCCGGTCGGGGAGCATCAGTCGCAATACTTCTTCCGGGTCGAAGTCCATCGCGAAACGCGTCGGGAAAAAAATAAATACCCACCCCTTTCCCTGCAACACGAACATAAGAAAAATTACACAATTAATGATGCATAATTTCGCGTGAATTGAAGCTTTGGGACCTCATTCAGAAGTGACACGACTGGGTGAGGCAAAGGGGTTCCTCGGGTAATCGGCAATTATACCAACTCAACCCGAATCCCGCTTTTCGGACGTCGGGATGATTCAAAAGGATGCAGAAGCACCACGAGAACAGGTTCTAACGTCAAACAAAAAAAAAAACGTGCAAGGTTGCGCATCTTGATCTTCTGAACTGATAGCAAATTTCTGATGCCTGGATGATTATGGTATGGCCACTCGAGTTGGGTCGAAATTTCAATGCGAAATTTAGTCCAAAACCACTCTTCTCTAGCCAGTTTATCAAGAACACGAGAAAAAAGTAAAATTGGCAAGAATTCCGATTCTCGTTAATTTGGTGCAACGTTAAACAACATTCATGTAGGAAATAGTTCAGTTTTTTTTTTGAGTTCCTGTCAAATCTCATAATTTTGCTGCAATATCCAGGAATTCATAAAAATACAGGGTTCAAAAATGGTCACACAAAAGATATTGATCTTGAAAATAAAAAACAATCCCATCCCATTCGCCACCTTATCATGTCACCTCTCCCCGAACCAAAAACTCATCGCCAAAATTCACAGAGACAATCTCCATTGGATAACATTTGGAGGAACACAGGGGGGAACTGAATAAAAACAAAGCCATCCAACAATAATCATATCATCACATCTTGTAAACAGCGCACTTGGAAACGATAGCATTGTAGATCATCGTGTTATCCACAGGGACGTATTGCCGGGTGAGGAGTTTGATGGCCTCTTGGGCCGCACAGCCAGCCACAAATGCCGCCACCGAATGGAGTTCTCCGGCGCCATAACGCGTGATCTCTTGAACGTAATCGTCTCCGATACTCACCGGGGTTCCGCTCTCACTCAGCAACTTGCACACACACGCCTGCGAAATCACAAGCATTTTGAATTAAAAGTAACATTTTTATACAAGACATACACGAGGGGAAACTCAGCTAATCGTAACATTCTTATTCCCAAAATAATGTACCAGAAAAAAATGTACAAGTCATCGCTAAAAATAAGGAACCTTTCCATCTGATTCCTTAGTCACCGCGGAAATTTCACGAGGACATGCAAAAAAATGTCCGCCCTTGACGTGGCTATTACAACTTTCGAAATCAATGTCTCCTTCAAGTTTCAATATAGGTAGACTCTCTGAACAACGATTTTCTCTTCGTAACGATTTTTGTTCCACAGTGGTTCTCTACCATTCCTATAGGAGTTCTCTACAACCAAATTCTCTCTATAACGAATTTATTTTTGGTACCCTGAATTTCGTCGCGGACACTACCTGCGTTGACTATGAGCCTTTCCGTTGGATCTTTTTTCCTCGTTCACACAAGTATAAAAAAAGTAAGCTGTACCTCTCATACGTATGGTCAAAATAATTTTTGAAATTTTCTGAACTATCGTGCATCAAGGCCAAGACCGATGTTCCAAATAAAATAAGTTCTGATTTGAGAAGGCTCGAGGTTGCCTCAAAATCTTGAAATCACTGGCATCGAAGAAAATCCAAAAAAATGCAATGAGCCTTCTTTCATCAAATGGTTATGGATCCAAATGTAGATTGGGAGATTCTGACACAGAAACTTGAGAACAAGAAGAATTCATTCATTCACTTCGGCTAACCTTCAGTTGCATATTGTCCAATTCAATCTGCGCGTCCAAAACACCGGGATAGCGGCCGAAGTCCGTCCGAAATCTTTCCATGGCCCGCAAAAGCACGTAAAACGTGAGATCGGAGTCTCCACTTTCCAATTCTGCTCCTACAAGAGTTGCGATGTGATGATCAAAAATTGCTTCACAACGCACGCGAAGAACATCAAATGGATCCATGACTCAAATTCTTCCGTTCCCTACTTGGCTCAGTCATTAATTGGTTTAATTTAATGCTGGAAGAGACTTCCTGAAGTTGATTATACATTTTTTTTTCGATAGACTCGTACATCTATTGCCATTAAACAAAAGCAATCAAATATGCGGCTTAAATTACACACCTTCATTAATCAGACTTGAAACGTGGACCTGTTATTCATTACATCTTCTGAAAAGCTGCATGACGTTCGTTCGATTGATTTTTCTATTGAACTCATAGTGACCGTTGAAAACTGGGAGCTGTCACCGTCTCGAATTGCCACTGAATCAAATTGTCTCAGGCTCAAATTGGTTCTGTGTCTTCAAGTGTCTCTGCATCTAATTATCTTAGTATCAAATTGGTGCTGTCTCTTCTATTGTCAGTCTCGAAGTGCCTTCGTCTCAAACATTCTGTCTCAATTTTTCAGGCGGTATTTTTTTTCTCAATATGTCCAGTCTAAAATTGGACATAAACCTCAGTGAACATACCCAAGTCCACTAGCTTGGGAAACTGGCGAAACTCCTTAGCCACGCAGGTACCCCGCTGCAACCGCAAAAATGCAGAATTGCGGCAAAAGAGCTTCACTTCCTGTTCGGAAATGGAATCCGCATTACGACCCAGGTCTCGCAAAAGGCCTCTGACTCTCCTCGCCACCACGTCCGCGTCCCGAGCTGCCTTGTCTCGATACACCTTTTGCAGGGCCACGTAACCGTCCGAATCCGAGGTCATGTCCGGAAGACTCCCGCGAACCGGCAAGCTTCCTTCTTCCGCAACGAAGTCTTTCAATGCTCGACACAGCACCCAAAATGTTGACGACTGCGAGTTGAAAGAGAAGGCTATGCAAATACAACAGGATCAAGGATTGTCAAGCAAGTAATTTAGACGGTGATGCGATTTTTGCATTGTCCTCACTTTTCTCAATTTGTCAGGCGGATTTTACATGAATCAGTAACGCGAGAAAAATGATCAAGGCTGAAATGAACCATTCATTTTTCCGGAGCGACGTAACTGGGTTTTCGAATGTTTTAAAAGAACAGCAGACGTGACCAGACCTAAATACTGTAAAGCCAAGACATGCAGGACATACAGACGATTCGACTTACACTTGACCAAACCTCAATCGAAGAAAGCCTATGGAATAGAAACAATTCGAGAGCTGCAAAAAAAAAAAACCACTGAAGCCAACCTCAATCATACTGATGCAATTCGACCCATCTTTGATTCGAGATATGTTAATTCGGGCGACATCTAATGGAAAAAATTCCCGAGTCGAGGACGTGACGTTAGAACATTTCCCTCGAAAATTTTTCAAAATTGCGTTTATAGTTCATAACAATAAATCAGCGAATAAATAAAAGCTAAGCATAAATTCATGTATTCTTAATTTTAAAAATAAAGCCGGTTTGCAAGAAGAAATAAAAAAGCTCACCTCCGGCGTCAACTCGACGCACTTGCAGTCTTCCAAAATGCGCTGAACCTCGCTCGGAACGTCCAAACCACCCAGCACAGTATTCACAGCCTTGGCAGCTTCCTCAAAGTTTTCAGCATCCTGAACAGTCTTGGGATTCGTGTCAACGAAGTCCCCGTTTTTCACAGCTACCATCCGGTCTTCGACCGTTCTCTTGGCCTTCCGCATCGCGTCTTGAATCTCCCGCTTTTGCTGTCTGGTCAATGGAGCGAGGATATTGGATTCATTCGAGTGACTCCGGTAGTCACTGAGATGTTTGTAGAGGAGAACGGGAAACGGGACGTGCGACAGACGTTGTGGGGACAGCGACTCAATATCGATTGAGTCTAGATACGATTTCAGCTCCGAGAATGGATTTAGTAAGCGGAGGTCTTCGACAGCATTGTCGGGATGAGATTCTATCACTGCAAAAATCATATTTAAGTCGTCACGTCTTTCTGGTTAAGATGAGGCGGTCTAAAAATGTAAGCCATCAGCAATACCAGCGACACCTACCCAGATTTAAATTGTACCTAATAGCGATGCACATGAAAAAATGAATCCTGAAGGAAGATTAAAAAATTTTCACTGCAATCAGTTTCTTCTCAACACGACAGTAGTTGAACTTAATTTGGTGCTAGGCACGTTTTTTGGCACTAAACATGGATGGCACTAAATTTTGGGCATTGTATGAAGTAAGTTTAGTTGGGGGTTTCCAGTTCACAGAATGGTTGGTCCACTAGTCTGTTTTATACGATAGAACTCCCCAAGAAATAATTTGAAGCTCACATGTATAATTTCAATACTGTATTCCAATATATTTAACATGACAGAATTTATTAGAATTTTACACATATTATGTCTACGAAAGAGCAGAGTTGTGCAAAGCTTGAGTTTTGTATCAGGTGTGTTCATGCAGGAATCACCAATATTTTCAGGAAGGTTCCCACTTCATTCATCAAATTATCAAAAAAGAAAGGTACAAAATGATGCAAAAATGAAAATATTTTTTAATAAGCATGGACGTGTGATTCTCACTAATGAATGACATAACGATATCCCTTGAAAAATTTCTTTGATTTTTGTCCATTTCTTTGATCCATAGAAGGACTTCATGTGGCACTACGTAATTTGATACTAAATTAGGGTTTCCCTTAAGAACACAATTGAGAGATTTGTTCCAGGGAAATTTGTGACACTGCTTTATGGCTGAAATCAAATCCAGCTTCACTGTAGCAGGCTTCATGTACAATTTTTCTACAGGTTTCTAATTTCCATGAAGAAATAATCGTAAAAATAAACTCTCACCGGTATGTTCTCGCAGCTGTATCCGCATATACCCAACGAAGCCAACACTCTTGATCAGAATAAGCGGTATATCAGATGCCCAAAGTCGTTCGGAAAGGTCACAAATAGTCCTGTGAAGAACAAAACCCCAAAATGGATCGGTTCCTCGAATCCAGAAGGCAAAACACAAGCCAGACTCACTTTTCAGACAAATCGTTGGCAACTATCAGCTGGAATTCGTCAAAAAATGACGGAGAATTGACCAACAATTGCTCCACACTGTCGTCCACGAAGTTCCCTCGAACGTCAGAATTCAACTCGCTCAACAGTCCGCACGCCATCTCACCTCGATTCTTCCCTATACTCTGTTTGTTCAGGAAGAAGCTGCAACAAAAAAAAATGCAAAAACCCGAGAATCAAAAACATTACCCAACTAAACGGAACCTGGAATATCATAAATAACTGCAGCTGCACACCAGAAATTGAACAACACGTATTCTTGAGAGAAAAAAACTACTTTCACATCTTCGGTTGATAGTCATGAAAAATATTTTCCTACATGAAATAAGGCTGCCGTGAGAAAAGTGGAAATCTTTCCCTACTAGAAAAGAAGTACCCTGGCCGGCACATTTTCATGTAGTCAGATTTTTCATGTAGTACGACGCTTCTAAGAAAATTTTAGATAATTCGCTCTAAACCACCAGTTGGACAGAAACGAGATATGCCATTTCATCCGATTGAAACATCAAGCAGTCTTTTGATGATTCATCAAGCAGTCTTTAATCCGATGCGAAGATGTTTGGCATCTCAAGTTTTCAATGCAGAAAATTAATTATTGCATCTAAATCACAGCTCATCCAAGATGTAAAATAATAGACCTAATGCATGATGAACTTCACACTGGAACTCCGCGAGTCTTTTCACCAAAGACGCCGACTTTATTTCGAACAGGAATTAAAAGAAGCCAGCAAAAATTACGCTGTGATATAGCTTCGAATCTTCTATGAATCTACACAAATATAGTCAAAACAAGAAACTGTAACTAACTTGGAGCCCAGATCTTCGGCTGTGACAAGTTTATTGTCAACGATCGTGAAATTTCCAACTCCGGGAAGTACGAGGCTCTTGAGCAGCTCCGTTCCTGCTCCGGTGGCATTGATGAGACAAACGTGCGAGCTTTCCAACGCCGCCTGTCCATGGTCGTCCCACAATCTAAGAAAGAACAGACAATTGCATAAAACAATACACAAATTGACACTGCTTCACTCGACCATAAACTATGCAGCATCACCGAATCACAAATGTGAACACCAAGCAAAAGAAATAATCAGATGCCGGTTGCTCGTGTTCGCAATTATTAAATGAGTACGACGCTTCTAAGAAAATTTTAGATAATTCGCTCTAAACCACCAGTTGGAAAGAAACGAGATATGCCATTTCATCCGATTGAAACATAACTCCATCAAAAATGTTTCCAAAAACGGTAATTACTCCCTATAAATTCATATTTTGCTTCATGGACCAAATATTGCGCTGCGGGTGGACATTCCCATTAATGAGTATGAAAATTGTTTCACGAGATTATTTTTAAACTTTCAAGTCCAATTTTTTAATACAGGTGGATTCTGTGTGCAACGAAATTCAAGGGACCAGAAAATCAATGTGTTTCAGAGAGGATTTTGTTGTAGAGAACCTCTGTAGTATGGACAAAGCGACCCATCTAGAACCCAAAAATATCTTTACACTGAGAAGATCGTTTTAGAGAGTAAACCTGTTCGAAAATTGCAGATTCCCCCAAAAGCCCTGCAACTACAGGCATATCCTATATATTTTAAAGCGTTCAATGAGCGATTTCCGAATAATTTGCGTTGCTGAATACATTAATTCGCGCAAAATTGCTTTCCGAGTGCCAATAAAACCTACGCAAAAAAAGATCAACAATCAATGGGTTCAACGTAAACATACCTCAGCTGCCGATCATATTTCTTGGCCTTTTCAGACGGCTCCGGACTCGTCGGACACGACGCGTTCACTTTCATCACAAATATCACTTCTCTGCACAGAAAAGTACAAAATGTATTCCCACGTTCATCAAGACTCTTGGCTCATCGGACTCGGGTAAATCTCTCGAGAAGACAGATTTCACTTTATTACAGCTTGAAAAAATTCGCGGAACGAGCCGTGATTAAAAAAAAAAAAAAAAAGGTACGCCTGCGAGCAAAAAACTTCATCACGACCCCGGCCACCCGAATGCGGCAATCTCGTTACAAAAAACATGAAAAAAAATTCTCGCCGGGGAAATCGCTGCTTTCCAATGCCACCAAAAGAAAAAACGAAACACGCAAAAATCTAACCCTATCTCTTCGCAGCCGGTTCACAGCCCGGCAAAGATAAAAAAGCCGCTTCGAAGAATCGTTACGGTGAACGCTTCTTTCTACATCACCATCACCAAACCGCACTCGCCGCTGGAAATTCTTCGAAATCACTGAAAGTTTCTTCCGTTCTGTTCACGAGGTAAGATTATGCGACCGGAAAACAAAGCAGAGGATTCTTCAAAGGAGGTCTTTTTGCCAGTTACATCCAGATTAAAAAATTGACGGAGTTTTGATCAAAAATCGATGAGAAATAAGAAGTACGCGAGTGACGGAGTATCTCTCCATGCCTCATCTTCTTCTCGGCAGGTCACGCCTTACTTCGAAAACGAACAAAAAAATTGCATAAAAATATCCGTGATTCCTTCGCAATTCGAAAACTTTCTGGCAGACGAAAGAAAAAAAAAACGGAGACTGAAAGGAACGATTACACCGGCAAGCTGGGAACGAAAGAAGTTGGCACTGAAGCTGAATCAAACGCCGTTGGAGGTGGCAGTGGTCTTGGCCTTTTTCATGCTCTTCATGACCCAGGATGTCATCGTCCGAGTCTTTTTGCTTTTGCTCGTTTTTCCGCGTTGGAGTAACAAGGGGATCGGATGAGTTTCGAGGACTGGCAGCGCTGGAGCTCCGAATGACGATGAGATATCCCTGCAAAAAGCAAATGCATCATTTCGGTAAGGAGGAAAAAGATTACCCAACAACGAGAACATATGCAATCCGAGTACTGTAATTAATTGAGTCCCCGCATAACTGAAGACCATTTCAACAAAAAATACGCATTACAAAATTTTACGAGAGAAAAACTAACTCACGAAACGATTAGAGCCAAAAAGTTTTCTCTGTAAAAATCAAACGTATCATTTCGGAAGGAAAAAAAAAATTCAGCGACGAGAACATCCACAATAAGATCAATGCAGTGAGCCACCGCCGAACAAAAGACCCACTCAATGAAAATTTCGTTCTACGAAGTTTTTCAGACGGAAAACTTTACCAGCATAACAAACTTGTTTTCCAAGACGTTTCGAGGTCAAAAATCGTTAGAAGTTTTGAAAATATTTGGGCTTACGCTTCGAAGTCCTTCGCCATTCATTGTCTTCAAAATTTGTGAAATTTATGAAGTCTAGTGCGCAAGCTTGCCAGGATTACTCACCTTCAATAATGTACTTACAGTAATCGATTTAATGTCCCAAATTGTATGCTGAAAACTAGGCAAAATACAACGTTCGACAGGTTGTTTCGTGTGTGTTGAATAACGGATTTAATATTTTATAAAGTATCCCTCAAGAAAAACGCGTTTCGCATGACGAAACACATTCAGGTACAAATTAGTTTTGTTATACAGGGACCCAATGTACCCAGTCTCAACACTCACCCCATGAGACCAAGAGCTGTGCAGACGCATTCATCAGAGACACCCAAATCAAGCGCAATTATCTTCAGGAATTCGCTCAAAGGCGGCAAGATCGTGTTCCCGAGCTCCATTAGGGGATTCCCTTCGCCCGAATGTACACCCACATTGTTGTTCTCGCCCTTCATGCCTTGCACCAGACCAGAGTAAGTCTCCAAACAACCTATCCTCAGAGCGTTGAGGTATTCCCGCATTTCCGGATCAGTCTGCAAATCAGGGAAATTAATCATTAAGAGTTTGATGATTAATAATGATATAAAACTTACCCCTTCAATCTGCGCCATGGACGCCTGGTGCAGCACTGTGAACACAGCTTGCAAGTAATTACTAAATCTAACCCCTAATGCCAACGCCATGTCGCCGAAGACGGAAAAAATCTGCGGCTTCACATTTCGGTGCACTTCCTGGCTCTGAAAAAATAAAAATCATCACAAATCCTTGAAGATCTTCAACAAATCCCAAAAATAAAAATAGAACTCACGGCAAGATTCTTGAGCAATTCCGTCATCAAGGCATCGGCATACGGTTGAACTTTGTCCCCGACGGCTCGACACAAGTCCCCGACGATTCCAACGGAAACTGAGTTCACCTAAATTTTTTGGTAAATTCATTGATCAATGAGAAATTCAAACGTCCAAACAGTAACAAGATACTGTACAGTAAACTTGTTTTAAAAACAAATACTGTATCATCCATGAATTACAGCGGTACTCAAATTAATCAAGCCTGGAAAAATAACTTTCCTTCCGCCTTCTCAACTCGGACATCCTTTTTTTCCTTCAGAACGTGAACCATGTTTCTGATAAAAGATCACATGAAAAAAGTCCTGTCACCAGGAATAAAATTACTTCGGTAATGTGAAGATAGCATCCCCAATTGAATGGCTACTAGCTATTCTTTTCACACGACTAAAATTAATTTCTTTGGACATTATCTGCGTGTTCCATGTCATTTTATGGTTTAAATAAAGCTATTGAATTTTAAAATTTCAAGAGCGCTTCGAGGAAACTCCGAAGCTTCAGACGTTGCTTACCGTTTCGTTCTACTCATTTTAAAGACGAATTCGAAAAAGGAATCCCATAGAGAAACGATCGAACATCAGTACCCGCGGCACCACTGAACTCTGAGTTCAACGAAACCTCTTCAACATCAACTTGTTCTACACAAACGTTAGCTGCGGGAAAAAAAGGTACAAATCTTCAGTACCTGAGGCGAGTTGACAGCTTGCAATCCAAGCAGCAAAAAGGGAACAAAGGCTTCAATGTACTTGGTGAACTTGGCACTGCTCACGTCGATGAAACTCGCCACGGCCATGATAGCGTCTTCCTGCACGCCGCGATGCGACCGAGTGGTAGACAACAATTGCAACAACGCAGTCATGACAGCGTCTCCAATCGTGTCGATCTCATCCGGTTGCAATTTTCGTAAGATGACTTGCAACGCGGCGCAGAGATTGGCTTGCACATCCACAACTTGCTGGTGGTCGGGTTGGGTATCAACTTGTCCACCCAGACTGAGAACTTGGCGCAAACGATCGAGAATGACGAGCATGGTTTCTTGCACAGCCACGTGGCAGTCCTTGGCCGAGTGGCTCGCCAGGTCCATTATGGCTTCGTAGGCTGAGCCGCGGAGATTGCTCTAACGAAACACGCACAAATGCGTAAATTATGCCCTTCTTGTTCTTCTCAATCATTCAACATCAAATTCGCTTTTATTCAACATTTTAAAATACCGAGGCGACCACCCGAAATGCGTATTACTCGACTCACGGACATTTTGAGCAGTGGTCTGAAATCCCGGAAAAGGAACCAAGATATGGACAAGGCCAAAATTTCCAGAAAAATGGAAGCATTTAATTTTCAGAAATTTTGATACTCTCGAAAAAATTAAACTAATTCTACGCGCACAAATTTAAAATAGCATCATGAATTTAACCTGGATAATTTTCCAGAACAAGCTAATTTTCTGCGTTTTCTTTCAAGTGTATTCCATCAATTCAAAAAGAATAGCAATATTTGTGCTTATTTCCTGCATGCTGAAGTGTCTTATCCCAATTTTTTGCTGAACAGGAGAATTGATTCAAAACATTTTCATTATAGTCCACAGGAAAAGGGTGATCTAGCATGCGGACACAGTCGTGATTAGGTCCACATCTCGGAGCCGCACAATAGTTCACTGAAGCTTACTGAACAATTCCAAGTATAATTAGGGTATTAGTTATGCTTGGAATTGACGATAACAAATATACAGCAAACGAGACCTCGCAGAAAAAAGCGGTCCATCAAATTTGACAGAACAGTGTTTTCAAATACTGTAAGCAAAAATCTCTACCGTCGATAAATTAAATCACTGACCTGTGCGCCATCGGCTCGTTCGGTTGTCCACAACAGTTTCTGCATCAAAACGTGGAAAAAGGGCGACAAGGGATACGCATCCGGCTCAATGCTCTCTTCGTCACTAGTTTGGACGGCCATGTATGCAGCAAAGCTCAAGCTTTTCAAGGCCTGTCGATAAAAAAAATGTTTTTCAATACAGTAACTGTACACGCATAAATTTAAATACAATGTTCAACAACCCGAAACTCAGTCTGTCTCTTCAACTGTACAAACGTTAAAATGAACTTCATACAGTGATACAAATTTTGCAAGAAGAAGCAAAGGATAATGCGAAAATACTATTTTCTATGCAGAAGGTGTGCACAGTTAATTTCTGGATACAGTAAATGCTTTTGACTTCTCCTTAAATATTTCCTGAAGGATATTAAAGAGAGACAAGAAATGTAATTGAAAAAAATGAGGTTTTGGAAAGCTCAGAGCACATCAAGAAACATTCAGCAGATCTTCCGATTTAAACTGCTCTAAATATACTGTATCACACTAAATCACAAAACTACTATATAAAGATGTTTTCAAAGTAGACTAACCCAACAAACGTTGGCGGCGACAGACGGTTCATCACTGAGTGAAACACAGAAGGCGTTAAGAAGTGCAGTGAGAACTTCAGAATTTGACGTGACGTCCGAGTATTCACATATTCTACCCAGAGTCCAAGCCGTCGTATCTCGCACTTGGATACTCGTATCTGACATCAAATTCATCAGCACAGGCAACGCTTCATCCATCATAGGCTTCAACTTCTCATTCGACGGTCCTGACGAAATTAAAATTTGGTTAAAAACATCTCTCTTTTCAAAAGCGTAACACCTTTGATAATTCTTGGATCTGATACCTGAGACAACATGATCATCGCATTAGTTATCCATCCTGAAATTTAACCAATGCGAGAACTGCCAATCCCAAGTATTTGAACAAGTCAGACAGCCAAGAGATATGTCGTTCATCATTTTCAGCGAAAAACGCAAAACCACAACTCTTCGTATCATCATATAGGAGCCCCCAAAAAACGGCAGAACAAAATAGAACGCAGTAAAACTTCGACATCGCGACGCTCGGTTACAATCTAAATTATCTAATCATTTTTCGTCCATGCTCTTAGAAAAACAAAATGGCCGAATCGCCTGAAGAGAGGTTTTACTGCGTTCGCTTTGATAATAGCCAAAAAATAAACGCCCAAAAGAGAGCAATTCTTTGTTCCTCACCTTCAAGAATGGACCCAAATGCCATCACAGCAGCCTCACGATACCTCCAGTCCCCATTGCCAATATTCTGCGTGACAAAAGGCACAACATACTCGACAATGGCGTCTTCCGTGCACTCGGCGAACAGTGACAGACACACGCCGGCGCCCTTGGCCGGCGTCCATTCGTCCTCGTCGCACTCGTCTTGTTTGGTCAACGTTTCAAGCACTATCGGGAGAACGTACTTGAGTGCACCTTTAGCGTAATATCGGGACTGATCAGCAAGCGCGGGTCGCTCCAACTCTGCTGCTTCTGACGCGTTGATAGCCAAGTCCAGTTCGGTTTCGCACACCGTGCTCCAAAATTCGATTCCTTGCAGCACCAGTTCGCTCGTGTCCGAATTCATGGCCTCCAGAGTTATCTGTGGAAACAGCATAGAATGGTAAAACTGATGAAACGAAGCAACATCACATCCATTTCGCAGATCTCATCCAAATCGCATGAGGAGACTTGGAAGAGATCATACATTCATTCCTACTTCGCGCACTCGGATCCAGGTTCACGAAGCATATTCAGAAAAAATCATATCGCTCTAGACACGTGAAAGAGATCCAAACTCACACACACACGAGATTTTTCCAAATCTTCCTGGTCTTGAAATTAATTTAACAAAAAATCGCAAAAAAATCCATCATCCAATATATTCTCAAATCCTTTTTGCCTTCTCTCATCCTACACTGCGTTTCTTCCCTGCAACAATTCCCCTGCCACAGAGAAAAACTTTGACTCACCGGCAGAAGGGCACTGGCCATGTAAACCTCCATATACTCGTAGTACAACGAGATAATTCGAACCAAACACTGCAAGGCCACCACGCGTACTTGCGTATTATTGGACGTCGTGGCTTCACATGTCACGGTCATGATAACGTTCCGTTCGCTCTGCAATTAGAAACAAGACATCAGATTTATTATAAGCATAAATTATACTTTCAAAGGCACGATAAGAGATCTGAACTAACCTCGACGGCAAAATTGTTCTGCGTGAACTCAAGCGAATTCAGCAAGGCATTGACAGCAGCTAACCGAATGTTCTCATCAGGTAACCGCATCCCGTTGACTATGGCTGTCAGGATACTGTTCGATACTTCGGCAAGAACTGCGGGTTGCTGAAAGATACGAACAAAACATCATGTTATAAAAATGGCCAAGAACAAGCCTAGCTAGCAAACTCCACAACACATCGGTCACCAATGCTGGTGAACGAACTCACTAAATGGCAAGAATGACTTCGTTGAATGTACTTACGATGTCTTGACAGATGTAGCCGATGGACTCGAGACATGCTGCTTTTAATGAGTCAGGAACACCTTCTTTGCACACGTTGTCGACCAAGTCCGGGATTAAACGAGGCCAAACACCGCGGGGAAGTTCTATTATAGCGATGTGCGCGACACATTGCGCAGCTGTACTAGGACGTTGGCCTTCTGTGCCAAGTGCTTCGAGAACCTACGATCAAAGATGAATGATCAATACGTCACAAGGTTAGTAAACCAGTACAAAGGCCTACATTTGTTTTGATTATCTGTCGAGCTTCTTCGGGGATGGCAAACCACTTTTGTGTGAAAATATCTTTCTTTGCGGGATCTTTCCAGGCGATTTGATTTTTCAGCTGAAGACCGGCTGCTACGCGAACAATTGGATTCGCCGCCCTGGCTTTCAAAATATCCGAAAGGGTTCGCAGGAAAGCCACCTGAAAATATTTGAAAACGTTTTGAATCCTCTTTCGGAAATGAATCAAAAAATCAGTCTTTACCAAGTCCGCTTTCGCGGCCTGCTCGAGGAATTCTGTCGCAGCTTTGAGTTCATTCTGATCTGCAAGCAAAAGAAGCGTTTCTCTAACACATAATCAACCTATACGATTGAATGGCACACTTACCAGGAGATAAGGTTTTCTCCAAAATTCCGATCAGCTCCTGCTCCATATCCAAATCTTCATACGTGAAGCCCGACACAGGGTCAGTAAAATTAAGTTCCCGGACGAACCAATATCACAAAATAAGCCACAGGAATACACAGGATCGTTCTGATAACACGATAATCTTATCCTGCAATTAATGAAGACCACTAATTCAGTAATGACGATCATCCAACACAGACCGAAACAAAATGCAGTGTAAAAGAATTACGCGCGATGATTATCGTAGAAACTGCGGAACGAGTGAACACATTCCGGGATAAGACTGAGCGGCATCGAACAGTGGCGGAAATATAGTCCCGCCCAATTTTCAAGTGACATGTACAAACTGGGCGAAACTTTCATGCCTTTCACATACAATGAAGATCTAGAGAACGCATGAACACAAAGAGAGAAGCGTTCACAGAAATCCCAGGCGTCAAGCATGAAAAAGAAACGGAAATTAACTGCTGATCTTCTAACCAGAATTCCCGACTTCTTCAGAATCAGAAACGAACACGGCCGCCGGAAACATGTAAGACGCCATCACAAAACGTTAATGGACGTGGTTGGCAAGTTGCAGCGAACAGTGGACCACCATTTTCCTGTTTGAACCTGCATGTTATTTCAATACCAAAAAGGGACTTCAGCTTGTTCGAACTACTCTACTTCACATTTTAAAATCCAGTCTCACTCATGAAATCTGTTTTCCTCAGCCAATATAACGATAGCAGTACAGAATACGCTTAAAGGTAAATTTTGTATTCAGTACACCACAGGAACAACCATGAAATGCATCATATGCTCTGACATAAAGAACTTCACGGAATCTGTTAGAGCTTATTGTTCAACAATTTGTTTTCAAGTTGTGAGAAACAAAAGGATCTTATTGTGGGGGCAAGGAGAAAAAAGTCCTAAAACATATGCCAGGAAAAAGATCACCAATACCTTTGAATCTTTTTTCTAGTCCCTTAAAAGGGATTACTGTACTGCTGTTTCAAAGGAAGTCCAAAAATTATTGCTGGAGGAAAGAATCATGGAGCATCAAATGACATAATTACAAAATATGCATGGAAAGATCTTGGTGCAAACAAAATGTTTTCAGGTTGGATGAGGAGTTTTACAAATGCAGTGTGCGAAATGGTACACTAAAGGATGAACAAATGATAAAAACAATATTTTCCGCACAATATTAACAATACTGTACTGTACTGTTTAAGATTATTTTCTCTGCAGAAACATGTTTTGGGTCCCAAATGATGGTTCCATCATTCCCATGCTTAGGGGTTATCATCTGTATCACAATCAACATTTTCTTGTCCCTTGAAGGTGATGATTGTGCACATAGAGTGAAACATTTCACAAAATTATTACTTCTAACAAATTCAATGAAAGTCCCACCATGAAGTTATTTGAATTTGATTTCATCATTGCCTCCTCCTGCATATAAACAATAGTCTTTTTCTCAGGGCAGGTTTGTAACAATATTTTGCTGTACAGTATATAATCCATCTAAGGCAACATTAGAAGAGGGAGAGTAATCAACAATGGATACATTCAGTAACACAGACACAAACGTGCCTGGTCCAGAAAAAACGTAAGATCTTTTCTGAGTAAATTTTATATTTCTCAATTCCATCAACAAAAGAATGTCACATGAATATACTCTTTTTCTTGCAATTTTTTCTCTTCTAGGAAGCATACACCAACTCACAGAGCCATTCCTATAACTGTGTATCACACCTAGCAAACAAATCACTGCGAGCAGGAATACAGAGCTGAATGCTGCTTTCGTACACAGGAGAACAAAAATATTGAAGCACACCCACAACTGTGCGCACAAAAATTACAAATCGCAGTGACGATACATTTGTTTTTTAGCATAGGACGGAGCTGACAATATGCCTGCTTAAAGCTGAAGAGACCAAACAATTTACATAAAGTTTCCCCAGCATAAAAAAAAACCATTTTCAACAAAAATCCATCGGCATCTCAGCTGTTCCCGAAGTTGGAATTTTATCCATACCAGATATGGTAACGTAAATATGGCAGCGGACCAGAAAAAGGGAGAACTTCTTTTTGTCTCAGTCGAAAATTTACTTAACTCGGGGAACAAAAATCGGTAACATAACTCGGGAGTTATAGGCATGTATATAGCAACGGAAAAATAAAAGGCGTGGGGATAAAAACAGCAACTTTTCGAGTGGCACCAACAAGCATCATCAGGGGTCTTAATCAATGCACTCAAAGCTCAGGTTGCTGAATGCAGATGATACGATACCTTGGTTGGCAGCCTTTTTCCGCTCCGTCTTCTTTGGCTTCTGCCACCTGAAACAAGAGATTTATAGTGGACATTATTTTCCATTTCAAAAGGTACGTCTCAATAAGACCCAATTCAAGCTTTTCGGCACGTCAAAGATACAGTGAAAAAGTGTTTTGACAATTTTTGAAAGACACAGGTAAATATACTCTCTGCAAAAAATCCCGCTGTGCCTTTCGATGTACATAAAATAAGCACGTTTTCTTCCCATTCCTCACATAGCTCAACACACAGCTGAATTTGTAAACTTTTCATGCTCTACCTGGCTTCCTGTACTATCAGGAAAATTACATTGCACTTGAGTCACCAATCATCTAAATCACCAAGCAAACCACAAAGGATCAAACATGAGGGAAAAAATAAGACTCGATTTTCAAAAATCACGATTCAGGCGACACCTATGTAACACAAAGGAAAATAAAGACTCAATCAAGTACTGTACAGTACTGTTTTAAGATTCAGGAGACTCCATGCATGAGAAGGCAATGTGGAGCAACGTTCGGGCGACATCTATGTAACAAGAGGAAAAATTTGACAAAGAAGTTCAGCAAGATTCCGGCGACATCTATGCAACAGCCAAGAAAATCATTGACTGGTTTTCTCGGCTGTTCTTTGAGGTTAGCGATTATTTGTTATATGAACTCTCAACACCATTTTCTGTATTGGACAAGGACATGAAGTAAACAATGATCATTCGTTACAACGAGATGCTTTCGCATTAAATTCCTCTACTGGAAAGTCTCACAAAAATCTGCTGTACAGATAATCCACCCACAAATGCGAAAAATTGAAAAACATTCAACAACAACAAAAATCCTCACTTCAGCTTGGACTTGATCAAAGACTCTGCCTCCAACTCATCTCCATCCGCATTCCCCAACAACGACATGCTCGTCTCCGGAAACGAAGCCTTGGCGGCGTCCTTATGCGGCGGCACACCCGGGAACTTCTCCTTGCTCGGCATGGAAGGCATGCTCTGAAAGGGCACGTCGCCAAAGGCGTCCTCCAAACCCGGCCAGAGGTTATTCAACGCAACGGCGGCGGCGGCGGCACCGGGCATCGGCGCCGCAGCCGCCGGATTGTTCGTCACTGCTGTGGCAACCACCACCGCCACGGTTTCCAATTTTCCGCCGCCGCCGCCGCCTGCACCAGTGATAGCAGCAGGAGTAGCAGTAGCAATGGGCAACAAAGGACTGTCCTTGATTTTCTTCGGAAGACGATTCCGTTTTAAAACGGCTGGTGGACCGGGGATTTTGAACGGGGCTTTGCCGAAAACGTCGACCTCTTCTTCCGCGTCGCCCGAGTGATGGTTTGGTAGCGCCTGGCTGGAGTCTTTCAGTTTGCGGAGGCGCCGCGGGAAACCACGCAAACCGCTGGAAGCATTCTCTGTCATGGGGGAAAAAAAAAGAATCGAAAATCATCACCTGTAATGCATTTAACCAGGCTTTGAAATACAGTTGGACTTTGATAATTCGGAACTCCCAAATGTTTTGATTCCCTGTCTGTGAATATTAAACGTTTTGCTTCCTTTTATTTTTCAAGACAAAAAGCACATTACCAGAAAATCAGGTTCCACATAAGAGAGTTGATGATCATTAAAAAATATGCCCCTCAAGTATTCCAAAGAAACAACTCCCACCTTCAACATCTGAACTATTGTCAGAATCAGCACCATCGGATCCAGTCTGCTTCACAGATCCCTCTGGAGAACTCAGCTCGTCGTAAGCCAACAAAGGACGTTCTCCGTATTCGGGTCCAACGAAAAAGACGTCCCCGGAAACGTCCTTTTCTTGAACAGCCGTGTAACTCCCAACACCGGCTCTCTGATGATTCTTGTTCAATTTCCTTTTCTGCTGGTAACGACTGGAAAAAAAAGACAAATGCGATTGGAAATAAATAAAAACGAAACTTGAATCAACACGGATCCCATCGCTAGTTAAACGAGATCTTAGTTTACGCTACCAGACGGGGATTCCCACGGAAAATTTCGAATCGTTCTGGTATCGTTTCTATTCTTCGAACATCACGGTAAATTTCCCACAGCCTGTCACGAATAAAATTTTCTTCGCTATGAAAACCTTTCAAATTCTGCACAAACTGTGACTAGAAACAAATACAGTAACCCATTTGAGATTTTCCTGCATTTGAAGCTTTTGAGCATAATTACAGTACTAGAGGATCTCATTATAACGAGTAATCCTTCAAAACGAACTTACTTTTCAAGTCCATATCCAATAGCCTCAATGTTAAATGAGGTACTTTATGACGCAGCTATTTTACTGATGCCGCTTTTGCAAAGGATAATTAGCAACTTTAATTGTTCCATAAAATCCTGGCTTGAGGTTCTGCATCCTGTAGATTCATTTTACACTAGACTTCCATGTGGTTTGTCCTTTTTATGCAGCAGGAAATGCTTCTGAACACATTAAACTCAGTTGCAGCATGATATTCAGCCTAAATTACTTATTTTAAAATTTACAGTTAGCATTTTCAGACCTAGTTTCCTCAACTCAAAACCTCTCAAAGTTAAATTATTTTCTGGTCCCTTCAAATTTGACTTAGACAAGTCAAACTTATTTTTGTTCACAAAGAGCGGAGTTGTAGTTTATTCATCCACAGCTTAAAAACATATCAAACATTCAGCAGATATTTTTGTAAGAATTAAAAAATCTTGTTTAAAAGTAAAATTCAGCAAGTGTCAATTTTTTCAAACAAAAATAGAATATCTAGGTTTTTGGATCAGTCAAAAAAGGAATTAAAATAACAGATTCAAAATAACAAGCAGTCAGAAAATTTTCAATACCAACGATTTGAAGAAGTTCAAGCCTTTTTAGGATTAATAGATCAATTTTACCT